GGAAGGGTGGTAAGGAGAAAGGAAGGAAGGGAGGGAGGGAAGGAAAAGGAAGACAGGGAGTGAGGAAGGCAGGGAGGGAGGAAGGGAGGGAGGAACGGAGGAAAGGAGGGTGGTAGGGAGGAAGGGAGGGAGGGAAGGAGGGAGGAAGGCAGGGAGGATGGGAGCAATGTCCCCTCTAAGCTGTGAAGTCTTGTGAGCAAAATTTCTGCTTTGTGAGCTACTGGCATTAAAGTTGTGAGCGAGCAATTTGGCTCCTGCATAAATTAGTTTGCTCTGGAGCCCTCCTTCCTGAGCTGAGACAAAAATGTGTGAGCCGGAGGCTAAAACAACTGTGAGCTAGCTCACACTAACTCAGCTTAGAGGGAACACTGGATGGGAGGGAGGCAGGCAGGGAGGGAGGGAGGGAGGAAGGAAGGAAGGAGGGAAGGGGCCCTTACAAGCCCCTTCTGCATGACTCTTGCATGCACTCAGTACTCAGGACTGGGCTGAAGCCAGCTGTGGTGCTCCAGTATCTTGGAGTGTGTTGGGCACCTCTTCAGCCATGTGGGGGTGGGGGGTGAGACAGTGAAGTCAGGGTCACTTTGTCATGAAAGTGGGTCCTCGGGATCTAAGCTTTTGCATTTTCTGTAGAACTGTCAATCCCTAAGTTTTGTCTGGATTGTTTCCAAGCTACAATGTACTGTAGCCAAGTACTTCTTCACCCAAAGAGTGATTAACACATGGAATTCACTGCCACAGGAAGTGGTGGGTGCTACAAGCATGGACGGCTTCAAAAGGGAATTAGATAAGCATATGGAGCAGAGGTCCATCAGTGGCTATTAGCCACAAGGTATAGCTAGGGGCTCTGGGGCAAGTGATGCTCTGTCTTCTTGGTCCTTGGGGGGGGGTCAACAGTGGGAGGGCTTCTAATGTCCTGGCCCCACTGCTGGACCTCCTGATGGCACTGGTATTTCTGGCCACAGATGGACCCTCACTGGCCTTGACCCAGCAGAGCTCTTCTGAGGTTCTTATCCGGGGAAGGCCTCGGCCTCTCTGCCCTGTTGCTGGCCCTCCAGAGGAACTGGTTGGCCCCTGTGTGAGACGGGAGGCTGGACTAGAGGGACCCTCCCTGGTCTGACCCAGCAGGGCTCTTCTGAGGTTCCTATCAGGGGAAGGCCTCAGCCTCCCTGCCCTGTTCCTGGCCCTCCAGAGGAACTGGCTGGCCACTGTGTGAGACGGGAGGCTGGACTGGATGGACCCTCTCTGGTCTGACCCAGCAGGGCTCTTCTAAGGTTCTTGTCAAGGGAAGGCCTCGGCCTCTCTGCCCTGCTATTGGCCCTCCAGATGAACTGGTTGACCACTGTGTGAGACGGGAGGCTGGACTAGATGGACCCTCCCTGGTCTGACCCAGCAGGGCTCTTCTGAGGTTCCTATCAGGGGAAGGCCTCAGCCTCCCTGCCCTGTTCCTGGCCCTCCAGAGGAACCGGTTGGCCCCTGTGTGAGACGGGATGCTGGACGAGAGGGACCCTCAGTGGTCTGACCCAGCAGGGCTCTTCTGAGGTTCTTATCAGGGGAAGGCCTCAGCCTCTGTGCCCTGTTGTTGGCCCTCCAGAGGAACTGGACCCAGCAGGGCTCTTCTGACGTTCTTGATAACCCCATTTATATCTTCGAGGCATTTCTGTATTATTAAACCTCTGTACTTCACCTTTCCTCTTGACCCAACGCAGCTCAAGGCATTATTGAGACATTTACTACGAAAGCAACAATGTTCAGTCCATACCTACCGTTCTTCATCATGAAGACACCGTTATTGACAGTACACCTGATAATCCTCCCCTGTCGTCACACACACACACAGAGAGAGACACACATATTGTTCTGAAACCAAGAAGCGAGATCCATTCCCCCCTCTGAGTCTTTCTTTCCAGCACTTCCGCCCTGGTTTCCCTCGAGGACTGGACTCCGAGTGGCCGGCGTGGGCGGTTCTTGGAGATTGTGTTGCTGGAAGCCGGGCCGGGAAGCGCTCTGCCTGCCGGCTATCCGTGGGTGGCATCGGAAGGATCCAGGCAACAGAACGCGGAAGGAACAAAGCAGCCGGTTTCCCTCCCAGCTGGGACACGGCCTCCTGCAGAGATGCAGCAGAGCTGGCCAGAACGTCCCCAAATGTCCTCTTTTGAACTGACTCTTCTTCTCGAATATCACTTTCGCCCCCCCCAGCCCAGCGAGGAAAACATTTGACACCTCTGTGCAAAAGCCTGGACTCTTCTCTGGCCACACTGGCCAGGGTCTCAGGGTCCCACCTTCCCATGGAGGAGGTAAGAAGAGTTGGCCTGGTGCGGGGGTTAAAGTGTCAAGCTAGGATCTGGAAGACCCAGGTTCAAATCCCCATATGGCCATGGAAGCTTGCTGGGTGACCTTGGGCTGGTCGCAGACTCTTTGCTTCACTGACCCACACAGACCAGTGAGGGTCCATCTAATGCAATATTCTGTCTCACACAGCGGCCAACCAGTTCCTCTGCAGGGCCAACATCAGGGCAGAGAGGAGTAGTAGTAGTAGTAGTAGTAGTAGTAGTAGTAGTAGTAGTAGTAGTAGTAGTAGTAGTAGTGGTGGAAGAGGAGGAGGAGGAGGAGGAGGAGATTGGATTTATACCCACCCTTCACTACCCGAAGGAGTCTCAGAGCGGCTTACAATCTCCTTTCCCTCCCTTTCCCCACAACAGACACCCTGTGAGGTAGGCGGGGCTGAGAGAGCTCTTGACAGAAACTGCTCTTGAGAGAACAGCTCCAAGAGAACTTGGTACTGACCCAAAGTCACACCAGCAGCTGCATGTGGAGGAGTGTGGAATCAAACCTGGTTCTCCCAGATTAGAGTCCGCGCTCTTAACCACGACACCAAACTGGCTCTCCTTTCTCTCTTTATATCCCACCTTTTTGCCAAATATCAGACTGGGGATTTTTAAAAAAAATCCGCTGACCACATTTTCATCCCACCGTTCCGAAAGCTGACACGCTGGGCTCTCCACACCATTCTACCCTGACAACATCCCTGTGAGGTAGGCTAGGCTGAGAGGAATTGGCCAGTCAGAAATTATACAGTGAGGACTGAACCGGGTTCTCCTCGGCTCTCAGAAACCCAACCTTTTGCATACTTTGGGGTGGGGGGAAGCAGAAGGGACAGCACTTTTTAACTCTCCACCATTTAATTTAAGAAAACAGGCCAAGAAGTGGTTTGCGTCTCCCTCAGACCATTTCACCTTGGACCCTAAAAGGGCACAGTGATCACAACCGCCCGGGGGTGGGTGGGGGTGCCTGCTTTCAACTGGGGCAGTTTTGGACAACGGGGCACCCACACAAATCTGAGGCGACGAAGCCACCGTGCAAAGACGGACACAAAGGAACCAAGTACAGTTCCACAGGGCCTGCAAGACGGAGCTCTTCCGCCAGGCTTTCAATTAGGAGCCGCCCACCACCCACCGCCAGGGCTTTTTTTTGTAGAAAAAGCCCAGCAGGAAGTCATTAGCATAACAGGCCACACCCAACAGCAGAAACCTATTAGCCTATTAGGCCACACCCCTGACAGCACAGCTCATTAGCATATTAGGCCACACCCCCATGTTGCCAGAAGTGTGGTCATCCAGCCACACCCACCTTTTGCTTCTTATTCTGTTTACTTTGTTGTCAAAACCCAGGGCCTTTTTTTGTAGCAGGAACTTCTCTGCATGTTAGGCCAATCCTAATGAGTTTCTGCTGTTAGCTGTGGCCTATTATGCTAATGAGTTCCTGCTGGGCATGGCCAGCTCAGGAGCCAGTAGGAACTCCGTTCCTGTGCGTTCCTGCCCAAAAATAGCCCTGCCCACCGCCCACCACCACTACCATTACCATCTACCACTACTGTCATCAACCGCATGGTGGTGGGTCGGCCCTTTAAGAGATCGTGGGAGGCCGAAGTATCACTAAAGCATAGCCCTAGTATTACATCTGTTTACACGCCACCGCAAACTGAACGAACAATGATGATCACTACGAGCACTTTATAGTATTAATTGCATTTACAGAGTTGCCACTAAAATTTTATTTTTCATTTCCCTGACCAACATTTGTCAATTTTCCTGACCACCATTCAAATATAACCACAAGTTAAAAAACGAATAGGTCAGTGCTCCCTCTAAGCTGTGGAGTCTTGTGAGCAAAAATTCTACTTTGTGAGCTAACTGGCATTCAAGTTGTGAGTGAGCGATTGGGCCGCTGCATCCTCCGGAGCCATCCTTCCTGAGCTAAGACAAGAATGTGAGCCGGAGGCTAAAAAACTGTGAGCTACCTCACACTAACTCAGCCTAGAGGGGACACTGGTCGTATTGCATTAATGCAAGGTAAGGTTCCACTCTACAACTACTCAAGTCTCAACTGCAAAAATATTTGTCAAAGAGATTTAACACCAGCTTCTTTCAACATTAGCTGCAGCAACATCTGTTTTTGCAACGGCACCAAAACTTACACCAAGATACAAACTTCAACTCAAGTAAACTCTGAATGCGAACAAATGACATAACATTTGTGTTCTTGTTTTAAAGGTACACTAAAAATTATATAAACGTTCTATCTAAAAGGGTTGGGAAAGGACATCATTGAGTTCTACCTGTATTCTGCGACTTCTCTATGCCCGTTGCCACAAGAACAGATCAGACTCTTGCGGCAGCAGGTCAAAAATCCACTGCTGGAATATGTTTTAATCACAATTCCCCTGACTTTCCCTGACCAATTTTCATTTCCCTGACTTTCCAGAAAGTGGCAACTGTGATTTAAGTGTACATAATGTAGGACATAAGAACATAAGAGACACCAATGTTGGATCAGGCCAATGGCCCATCCAGTCCAACACTCTGTATCACACAGGGGCCAGTGTTCACCCAAATCTTCCAATATCTCTTTTGGAAAAAACCCAACAACCCTTGAGGCTTTCACATCTCTAATCCTCACAGCAACCTTCTGATGTAGGTTAAAGAACATAAGAACATAAGATATGCCAATGTTGGATCAGGCCAAAGGTCCATCCAGTCCAACACTCTGTATCACACAGTGGCCAGAAATACCAGTGCCATCAGGAGGTCCACCAGTGGGGCCAGGACATTAGAAGCCCTCCCACTGTTGACCCCCCCCCAAGCACCAAGATGACAGAGCATCACTTGCCCCAGAGTCCCTATACATAAAGGTAAAGGTAAAGGTTCCCTTGCTCGAAAGCCAGTCGAATCCGACTCTAGGGTTGCGGTGCTCATCTCCGTTTCAAAGCTGAAGAGCCAGCGCTGTCCGAAGACGTTTCCGTGGTCATGTGGCTGGCATGACTAGACGCCAAGGCGCACGGAACGCTGTTACCTTCCCACCGAAGTGGTACCTATTGATCTACTTGGAATTTCTTGCTTTCGAACGGCTAGGTTGGCAGGAGCTGGAACTAGAGATGGGAGCTCACTCCATCATGCGGCACCCAGGTCTCGAACTGCTGAACTACTGACCTTCCACAGCCTGCAGTTCAGCGTCTTAACCACTTGAGCCACCGCAGCTCAATAAAATACAATAAAACATGTAACAGAATAACAACATTTAAAACCACAATAAAATCCATACTACAACCAGTTCCCCGCCACTTCCCTTGAGCTGCTAGCTTTCCTCCCCGCAGCCATGTTTTTATTCTAGGAAGCAGAACCCTTGCCCGGGGCAGTGTGACAGGCAGAAGCGGGGTTCGAACTGGAGACGGAGAGGTGAGAGAGAAGGACTCCTACCTCGAAGGTGAAAGGGTACGCCTGCTCCCCGAGCTTCTTAATCAGCCGTTCCTGGAGTCGCGTCAGGGGCTTCTTCTCTTCGGCGACAGGGGGGAAGGCCTGGATGTTGGCGACGAAAAGATCCTTCCGGAAGGTCAGCCCCAGGACGTCCAGGTCCTCCCGGCCATAGCGGAAGGCGCATGTCAGCGTCACAAAAACTGCAGGGAGAAGAGACGACAGGTGGCGCGGGTGGTCTTTTTGGGAAGGAAAGAGCTTTCCGGCAGTGTTCCCTCTAAGCTGAGTGAGTGTGAGCCAGCTCATAGTTTCTTAGCCTCCGGCTCACACATTTCTGTCTGAGCTCAGGAAGGGATGGCTCCAGAGCAAACTAATTTACGCAGGAGCCGAATCGCTGGCTCACGGCTTTAATGCCAGGACCTCACCAAGTAGGATTTTTGCTCACAAGACCCCACGGCTTAGAGGGAGCATTGTTGCCCAGGTGCCAGGTGTGAGCTACAGCTGCCAATTCCAGTTAGGAAATTCCTTGGAGATTTGGGGGGGGGGTTTGAGCCTGGAGGGAGGACGAGGTTTGGGGAGGAAAGAGACCTCAACAGAGTATAATGCCACACAGTCCACCCGCCAAAGCAGCCATTTTCTCCAGGGGAACTGAACTTTGTAATCTAGAGATCATTCTGGGATATCTCCAGGCCTCACCTGGAGGCTCAAGTCACGAATAAAATATACACTGCAAGAAACTTTTGTAAATTAAACGTGTTCTGTTTATAACTATCATTCTATAAAGTGCATCGTGTGCTATTATCACATCCTTGTCAGGCACATATATTCCGTACATTCAGTATAACAATAACATTCCGTTCATACAATCTAACAACTACCGGTCAATTTTGCATCAGTATTTTAAAAGTCAAGCCCCCAACAGGAGTTTCCAGAATTACAAGCCCACTTCTACTTGCATGAAGTCTTCAAAAAAAAGGGGGGGGGGATCTTAGCTGTACAATGTGTCTTTTGTAGGACCGGCAATAAGCATCAACACAACTATAAATGAAAGCTCCCCCCCCTTTGTAATTCTGGAAACTCCCATTGGGGCTTGACTTAAAATACTGATGCATAATTGACTGGTCGTTGTGAAATTGTATGAACCGAATGTTATTATTATACTGAATGTACTGAATATATGTACCTGACAAGGATGTTATAATAGCACACAATGGACTTTATAGAATGACTAGGAGCAAGGCCCGTTGTGGGAAGAAATACAACGAGCTCTAGAAGGAAGCTCCAGGTGAGTGTCCCGGCTGTGGCTGGTGAGGTGGCAGAGGGAAGGGGAAAATAGAGGGAGGCCAGCCATGTTTATTTCCTTCTGCTTAGCTATAAGGCAGGGCTGTCTCCAGTCATTTTGCTGCCCCAAGTGGGTAGTATGGGAGGAGAGCCGCATGGTAACAGGTATGGTTCCCTCCACCCCTGAGTTATGTTGATTTGGGGCTATGCAGTGGCAGCTAAGGTGGAAAAGCACCTCCTCCTCTGCCATGTTTTCTGGGTTCCAAGGGTCTGGAAAGCGGTTCCATAGCCAGTTACAGGGTTGCCAACTCTGGATTGGGAAATACCTGTAGATTTGAGGGGTAGAGCCTGGGGAGGGCAGGGTTTGGGGTGTGGAGGGACCTCAGCAGGGTATAATTCCATAGAGTCCATTGGCCGAAGCAGCCATTCTCTCCAGGAGAACTGATCTTGGAGATCCCCAGGTGCTGCCTGGAGACTGGCAATACTAAGGGGAGGGCCAGACCTGTAGATTTGAGGAGCAGTGCCTGGGGAGGGCAGGGTTTGGGGCGTGGAGGGACCTCAGCAGGGTATAATTCCATAGAGTCCATTGCCCAAAGCAGCCATT